CCCAGGATTGGTGGAATATTTGATACCCTGAAACCATTTTAGCTGGCTACATTAAAGATGAACAAATACATTCATAATCTATTGGAACGGGACTTTTCTGAAGCCCGTTCAACCTCCCTTCCTTTTTGAGGAGATGACAGTCGTGGCCCCAAGTTTTTTGGAACAGAGTTACCACCTCTCCACAGAATGTTCCCCAATCAGTGACCAACTCAAGTGCCCAGTGACTAGGGCCCAAGGGCTAGGTTATTTGGCCTGCATTCCCCCAAACTCCCCAAAGTTCTGTTGCCATGTTTTTGTTTTTTAATGGACTTGTCACCGGCTACCAAGACACTAATGAATGCCCAGTACCCAGTGAGTGTTTGGATTCCATGATTCACTGGCTCTACCAAAAAAGGAAGGGCAGGCTGACTTCAGGAACTTCTTAGCATCCAGAAAACCCTATAAGCCATCTTGAGATTTGCCTCTTAGAAGCAACTCTCTAGTGGGGGAGCCCGACATTGTTGGAGACTTGAGACCAGCTCATCACTTCTTATAGCTGCATTTGGGTCCCCTCACCTCAGTGAGGCCCTTGGTTCGGTTCTACATTGACTGTCATCATTTTTGCATCCCCTTCCATAGTTGTCACAGCTGCCCCCTCTTCTCCATCCCTATCACCCGCCCTAACCCAGGCTTCCCCATTTCTCCCAGAACTAGAGCTTTCAGATTGCCCCAGAGCGATCCCTTTGTAAGCCAAGTACTAGCTGCAGTCAGCTTGTCCTGCATTGCCCATTCAATGAAATTTAGGAAGCCTGATGCTCATCCTAAAATCTTTCCAAGTTTATTTGTGGGAGCTGGGAGGAGATGGGGGTTATTCTCTTCATGGCCATTTCTTGCTCTGAATACCCGTTTCCACAGGAAGGAGTCCAGCATAGGAATTGAATACCTTGCCTACACACCCACAGTCACACCCACCCGCTGGTGGTTATAATTGTGTATCACATCAACCCAGATGTGGCTTTGGTCCTTTCCCCTATTTTCCGCCCCAGAAAACTCATACCAGTCATCTTTGTGAGCATCAGGCTTCCCTGAATTTTTTTGGATGGAGTAATTTACATGTCAGTGAGGCATCAACTTAAGTTATTTTAACTATGTACTTTTAAATAATTATGAAATGCATACATTCCTTCTCATTAAAAAAAAAAAGTTAAAGCATCAGAGATAATGCTAAGGAGGCAGAACAGGAAGATGGAGGAACGTGGTTTCTTGACATCACCACCAAGTTGCCATCCAACCCTGAACTGCTTACCTCTTGGACTTCCTGTTGCAAGATATAAATAAACTCCTATATGTTAGGCTACTGTGAGTCAGGTTTTCTGCTGCATGTAGCTGAACACAATCCTATCTGACACACTCCCTGTCTGGCACTGAGCCTCTCCCTTCTCATCACTTTCTGACCCCTTAACCATTGAAATTTTTCTACCTAGCACTTCATCACTAGCTGAAAAGATATTCTTTCTTAATGGCTCACAAGTTTGCTGTCTGGTTTCCCAGGAGGACGTAGGCTGCACATGGGGAAGGAGTTGGTCTTGCTCTCATGATATCCCCTAGGGTCTAATGCAATACTTGGCCCATAGTAGGTGCTCAATAAATATTTGTCCATAAATGAGTGAGTGCAAATTTGATCATGTCCTTCCTCGTTTAGAGGATAAAATCCAGACTATTCTGGGCAGTCAAGGTCATTTCTGGCCTGGACTCTGTCTGCCCCATCCACCTTGTCCCAAAGCAGTTTGTAATGCTGTCTGTATGGGCATCCACCACTGAGCCTTTGCACAAGCTGCTCTCTCATGCACACACACACATTACTGAGCACCTACTGTATGCCAGACACTCTTTTTGGTATAGGAGAAAATTCGATGAACCAGACAGACAGAATGCCCACGACTATGGAGCTCAACAGAAAGGATAGACATTGGCCAAGTAACTACAGTGTAGTCAATCTTAATAAAAGAGACTATTGGAGTCATGAGAGTTCCTCAATCTCTAAATGGCAAACTCCTAGTAATCCTTTAAGGCCCAGCTCCAATGTCACTTTCTCTAGGAAGCCTTCTCCATGTCCCTGGGCTAGGGAGGTTGCTCCTGGTGCTCCCACAGACTCTTGCTAGACAAATCGAGCCACAGAACTCAGCCCACTCTACAGTCTTTACCATCTTCTTGTGAGCCTGCTTATGAGCCTGCTCGTGAGCTTGTGGAGCCAGGAGCCTTGCCTTATTGATCTCTGTATCCCCAAGGTCCAGTGCAGGGCTTGGCATGTAATTTTTAATGAGTTCAGCAATTGACCTGTCCCTTCCTTGGCCTGCCTCCTTCCTTCTCCCCAGTCCTTTTTCCAACGCTCAAGTTCCAGCCTGCCTTGGTCTCCCCATTCCACACTTAGCTCCCCAGGCATATCTTCATCTTGTTCTGATTTAACCCTTCCCCTCCCCAGACAAGCTGCAGAGTGGGGAGGCACCAGCTTCCTCTTGGGCTGTCTAAGCAAAGCTTAAATAAAAGGCCAGGAAAAGCCATTCAAGCACTAGGGATTACTTTTCTGCTTCTCTACTCCTTTACTCCTCAGGCAAATCACCTCTTCTCCCCCTCCCCTTCCTTGTCTTGCATTGTCCCCAACTACACTCTCTTCGCAGAACCCGGCAGATTTCTCATGCCTCTGCACCTCTGCACATGCTGTTCCACTCTGCCAGAGATGCTGTTGTCCTACCATCCTTCCTGACAAAAGCTGCCACACCCTTTGAAGCCCAGCTTGTGTTATCTCTTCAATATGGCTTTTCCCGTGCCCCCTCCTCCATCCCCAAGCAAAATGAATTGTTCTGATGGTGTTCCTTGGCTATGGCCTCATCCCACAACATTTTGTTGGTTTGTCCACAGTCTACTTGCTCTCTGACAGTGAGGTTTTCACCATCTGCATCAGTGGCAAGTCTGTGCCTAATCTCTGTCCTTCCAGTGCTCAGCCTAGGGCTTGGCACACTGCAAAATCAAATAAATAACTGTTGCTTTGGGTGGCTGAGGTCTTGGGCAGCAGGTGAGAAGAAGGGGCTATCCCTTCTGGGCAACAACACCTTGATTTGTCTCTGGACGATCATCTTACCCTTTTCCATCCAACTAGTTTGCATGGAACTGACTAAGACCCAGAGCTGAGCCTATGACGTGGCAACCCACTCAGATAGCACAGCTCCTGACCTCAGTGACTATACAGTGGTGGGCATGTGAGCTAAGCCCGGCCAGTGAGAGCATGGCAGCAAAATTAAAGATGGGGAGGGGAATTGGGGGAAAAGAAAATGAAGGCAGAAGAAAAACGATGGGCCAAAAGTAGAATTAGTGTCCCTAAAAGGGGTCCATGAAGTCCAAGATATTTGACAGAGTCTGGCTACCCCTATGACCCTGTGCTTCCGAACACAAAAGTGTTCCCACCTAAATATCTGTTGCAGATAATAAACAAGACGCACCTAGCATTAAATGAAGCAGGATGAAGCTGTGGTCAAAGAGGATGTGCTTTGGAGTCAGATCATCCGAGTTCGAATCCTAGCTCTGCTGTCTACACTAGCTCCGTACAAGCCCCTTACCTCTCTGACCCTCAGGCTCTATCAGTAAGATGCAGATATCAATTTGTGGGGTCGCTCTAATAAACAGGAAGTGCATGCAAGTGGCAGCAGGTATCCAACTATTGTTACTCTGTTGTCATCATTAGTTGATTGTCTGGTACAACAATCCAGGGTAGAGATGTCAAGGCCAATGACGAGGCTTAAACTAGGGCAGAGAGAGCGAGAAAGGAGAGGAAGATGGATGGAATAGATATTATCCAGATGGCGTTAGTCAGAAATCTTTTGTTTGCAAATGACAAAAACCCAACTTCAAAATCTGCTTGAGCCAAGAGGAAAGTATTCGTCCATGTCACTGTAAAGTGAGAGGTACATTTTGAGTTTCACAAAAGGCTGGAAGGCTGGGTCCCCTCCTTGTATATTTTCTTGGTTCTGTTTTCCCTGGGCTGGACTCCTCATGCCCATGGAGGCCCCAGTTTCTCCAGGCTGAGATAGTTACCCAGCTGGCAATCCTTATAGAAAAAGAGAGGGTCGCTTCCCCAACATTTGTGATGAAAGTCTTGGAATTGAGTCTCATTTGCTATGCTTCCTCATGTTCCCATCCTGGAGCCAATCACAGGCGTGAGGGAATGTTCTGAGCCTGGGCCGTGTGACCATCCTTGGTGTTTGGGGAGGGGGAGAGAGTCCAACTTCATCTGGGCTGAGGGTGGGAAAGAGGATCTCTAAGGAAAATTGGGGTGCTGTCACCCAAACACAGGAAGGTATGCTGGGGAAAACACTAACAGCTGTGCCCTGCGGAAGGGGATTAGCAGGGCCCAAGGAAGGATTGGATGTGGAAGGCCAGGGAGTCAACAGGGGCAGCTCTAACCGGGCTGTTTTGAGCTCGCGGCCTCTGACTTTGGTCCCCAGCAGGCCTCAGGGGCATGACTCAGCAGTGAAGCTGCCACACGCAGGGTTTTGCAACCGACCTTTCCCCTCCTCCCCAGCCCTGCATTGGTGTGTCCCTGGGGTTGGGCCCGGCTCCTGCCTGGAAATGTCCCTGACCGGGACCTCCTCTGGTCCCTGGGAGAGGGAGGGTCTCCGGTCTTCTCAGCCCAGCTCTGCCATTTCACTCTTGCTTCTCACCCCAGGGCAAAGTCTGGAGATTGCTGAGGAAAAGGTCAAATGCCACCTTGCTCTCGGTTGGGGGTCCAGCAGCCAGCGCTCTGTGGCTGCCCTGCCCCCAGCCAAGCAGGGGAAAGACCAGAACTGCTTTACACTGGCCCAGCCCCCAGAGACAAGAATGGTCGAGTGCTTCTCAACCTTCAGAGTGAGAAAATGGGGATAATAAGAGCTGTCCCCATAAGTCTTCCTCCTCGGGAAAGTAAATAGCAAATAAGGTCATGTTGAGGGCACACCCTTTGAGAGAAGGGGCTCCCACCCTCAGCTCACCTTTCCTGAGCATCTACGACATTTCAGGCCCAAAGTGCACGCTGGAACAGGAAGCAGAATAAAATCCAACCGTAGCCCCAAGTTGCTTGTGAGTTACAACAGGAAACAGACAGGTAGCAATCAGCCGGCAGTGTCCAGAGTCCTTTTATGACTAAGCACGGGGCTTGGGGAGAACAGAGGAGGCACAGAGGATACAGTCTGGGGAGTCTGGGGGCAGCTGGGAGGGACTGGAGGACAGGGACCTAGCTGGCTCCTGAAGAGCAAAGAGCTGGCTGGGTCAGGAAAGGAGGGAAAGGGCATCCTGGGGGAAGAAGCCTGTGCAAAAGTGAAAGGTTGCCTCAGAAGCTGAAGGGGAGCCCAGGGCACAGGGAGAAATCATGGGAAGAGATGAGCCCATAATGGCAGATGGGACCAATGTTTAGAAAGAAGTTCTAAACTTCTTAGTTTAGATGGGGGCAAGTGGGGGAGTGTCCAGGTCTGATAGAGACCTCTAGTTCAGACCATTTCATTAGACATAATTAAACAGAAGCTCTGGCAAAGCAAAGGTCTCTCTTCAGTAGGAGATCAACTTAGCGAAGATTTTGGGCTCCCTGAGAAAGATGCAGAGAAGCCCAACTTTCTGAGAAACCTCATCCCCCCAGCCTCTTTTATCTGATGGCGCTCCCGGATACCAGTTTTTATTTCCTGCTTTGTCACCCCCACTGTCCCTAAAGCTCCTTTCTGAGAAGCCATGGCACAGTGGGTGTTTGGACTGTGGCAGTAGCCAGGCAGAGAGGAAGATGCCCCCTGCCAACCCCACCTGCCCTGGTAGATCAGCCAGGCAGGTACCTAGCCAGGAACACCTATAGATGCTAAAGAGGCCTTCCAGGGGGGCCAGAAATGTTTCTCCTTGTCCCTTTCTTTTGTCATTTCAACATTAACTTGCCGTTCAGTTGGGAAAGGTGAGGGCCCTTTGGTCATCTGTCCCTGGCTGTGTGATGTGGCCAAAGCCTTGTGAGCCTGAGTTTTCTCAGCTGAAAAGGTGATGTGAGGGTGGCCCTAGATCCAGTCCATGAAGCACCCGTGTGAGGAGGAGGATGTCCCTGCTCGCTCCCTTCTCCCAACTCCCTCTTCCCGGAAGCCTAGGCTCCTCTCACCCCCCCAGACCACGCTGAAGGCGGCATAGGGTAGCAGGGTCTGCTCTAGACAGCCGGCTCCCTCCAGATGGGGTTACAGACCATAGTCTAAATATTTCAGAAGTTATAAATCCAGCTAATAAACTATTAAATAAAATGTGTTCTATTGCCTGGAAGGACAGAGCTTCCTTATGACCTGGAATTAGGCCCAACCTTGGAGTTTCACACGAGCACCTATCCTCTGCTACTCTTGTTCTGTTTGCCTGCACTGTAAGGGGCCTTGCTCAGGCAGCCCGCACATTCCGCCCCCTGCCCCCCGGCGAACAGCACCCACTGGCCGCATGGCCCACCCTAGTGAAAATAAGATGGGGGAGAGGCCCATGAAAGCCTGCAAGTGGGCTCAGACATTTAACAAGGAGTCCCAGGATCTTGGGACCCTGGAGCATCATCTGGAAGGGAGCTGCTTAGGTTCCAACTGGGACACAACCGTTGTCCCCCCAGATTCCTCACTTGGGCAGGGGAGAGGGCTGGGGCCCCTCTTGCCCTGGTCAGAGGATGCAGGACATGGAGCCAGGAAACAAAATTATGTTCTTGGTTCTGCTATTTTCAAATGAGATCTTACGTCCGTCCTGGTATCTCTCTGCACCTCAGTCTCACCGACTGCAAAATGACAGAGCCAATCTATTTAGTCTCTGAGTTTCCTTCTGAGAGAGAGAATGAGATAGAGAGAGAGAGCATGAGACAGGGGAGGGTCAGAGGGAGAAGCAGACTCCCTGCTGAGCAGGGAGCCCGTCTGAGTTTCCTTCTGGCTCTGACCCGGGGTCCTGCAGCTGACCCTGCCCTCAGGCCAGTGGGTGCTGGTCAGTTGGTCACCAGCTTCTCCAGGCCTTCCTGCCTGGGGCAGCCCCTCCAGGTCCACAGTTATCTTTGGAATTGAGCTCTTGACTTCCCTAAACAGCGGGTCTGGAACTAAAAAGCCAACAAACTAACAAAAACCTTTAATTGATTTCATGTGTGACCTGGGATCATAAAAGTAATCAAATCTTGACCAAGCTTGCCAATACAGGCTTCTAGGTCACCTAGGCGGGAGGGCCCTTCTTTATGCCTGTTGACAGCCGGATCAGCCCTCCCAAGCCAGTTTGTAATCAGGATCTTTAAAGAAAATAAGTGAATTAGGCAAATTGAGAGGACAGAAGGTTCCTTTGAGTTTTGGAGCTTGGGGACAGCCCTGGTGAGAACAGATAAGGCTAGAGGAGGAGTGATGGGAGGGGTGGGGAGGAGAGGGCATGGGGGGAGGGGCACAGGAGGAAGAAGGGAATCATTATTAGCAGTTAGTGAGTTCTACCACGGGCCTGTGACCTGTGCCAAAATTTTACATACATTTTCTCAATGATTTAAAGATTTCAGAGACCAGTAAAATCCTCTCCTTTCCAATGAACAATTTTGGGAGCTGAAAATGATTGAGTTTCTGGGTTGTTTTTTTTTTTTTTTGCCAAAGAAAGACATTAGAAAACAAATTCTATTATTTATCCATTTGACAAATATTTACTGAGAGCCTGCTATGTGCCGGGCATTATTTCAGGTCCTGGGGTAGAGCTGTGAACCAGATAGACAAAGATGCCTGTGTCCTGGGAGAAGTCAGACAATGGACCCAACAGGAAATAAGTAATAGGTCTGACAGTGGTGGTGGTGGTAAGTGCTATGAACGAGAAACAAGTCGGGCAAGGGAGAAGGGACGGGGCCCAAGGGGGTTGGATTGTATTTTAAACAGGGTGCTCAGGGAGGGTGCCCTTGAGAAACACATATCTGAATAAAGTTCTGGAGCTGGTGAGGGGGTGAATCTCGGGTAAGTGGGTGGGTTAAGGATTCTGGCCCAGGCAACTGTAAGCACAAAGGCTTGTCGCCCTTTCACTTACAAAATAAAAATAGAGTGAGGATAAAATCTCAGCATGAAGGCCAATCCTTCTTCCGGGAGGGTAATTGGTAAACTATTCTGGTGATATATATGCATCGTCTCTGTATCTAGCTAGCTAGCTATCTTGATAGAAGCATAGATGGACATATACATGTGGTCTTTGTCATGATTTTTCTTATTATGCCATAAAAGGGTAAGAACATGTCTCAAGTCAGTATCTGTCTGCAGATTAACCTGTGGCCATTGATGGTTGCTGCATTTTACGGGGGGGGGGGGCATCTGAGCCTCAGAGAGGGAGCGGCCTTGCCTAGGGTCACAACCGCTAGTACCCATCCGGGCAGTATTTGAACTCAGATCCAGGTCCTGTGCTCTTAACAATAAGCTGCCTTGGTCTGCTCTGCAGCCACACCTCCGCCGACCCCCGCCCCGGGCTCCCCGAGTGCTGAGTAAAAGAGCAGCTTGGCCATCTGGTGAAACCTGATTTCCCCTTCCTCTTTCTCTTGCCCAAGGGGCCGGGGCAGTGAGCACAGCCCCTGGGCTGGCAGGACTGAGGGTGGGCGGGTGGAGCCACAGACTTTGCTCCTTTCTGGAGATCAGTGGGCAGCTCCCTGGCGCCGGGCCTGCTGGGGCCTTTGTGTTGGCATTTGCCCCATCAGGAAGCCTAGCTAGGCAGGCTGGGTCTGGCCTAGGAGAGCGCATTGCTTCAAAACCCATCCATGCCAGCGAGCAGCCTCCGGTCAGCTGCTCTGTGCCCAGCTCTGTACTGGGAACTTTGTGGGTCATTGTGCTCAGATGAACTCCGTCAGCAACCATGAAGGGCAGGCGAGAGGGCTGTTCATTTGTTCACTCGGTCATTCCCACCTCCATCCCACCAGAATTTGCTGAACACCGGATCTTTTCAGAGAACGTGGTCTGAGTCTCTAAGATGTGCCAAGCATTAGGCCGGCGCTTGTGTTCTTATTTAAAGAGGTATTAAATTAGCATAGGATGTAGGGAGAGATTCTTTGGGGTAGGTGGAGGGATTTATTTAGATTGGAGGAGAACTGGAGAAGTTTTGAAAGGCAGTAAGCTCTGGGCTGGGCCCTGCAAAGCCAGGGACCTTGGAAAGTGCAGGGCTAGGAAAGGGCCTTCAGGCAGGGGGAGCAGGCTGCACAAAGGCTGGGCAGTCAGATAAAAAAGGGTGTGTTTGCCAACCAAGAGCTCTGGAGCAGTTTCCCTGCAGGATGGTGGGAAGAGAGGTTGTTAGGTTAGTCAGAGAGGACGCTGAGAAAGAAAGTTCACCAGCTGGTCTCTGAGCGACCCTGGGCCCGTCATCTACATCTCTGACTCTCTCCCACACATGGGTACTGATGGGGTTCAGGACAGGCCACCCCAAAATATGCTACTTTGGTATATTGATTATTTTGAATTAAAGTTACTTAAGAAACAACCTGTGCAAAAAAGGATATAATGACTCTCCTTTGTCCCCTGGAAAGCAGGAAATAAATTTCCCATGTGTAGGGTACCCTCCCTATACCAGGAGAGAGGTCCTTATCACTAGAGATAGGGAATTTAGGGCAAGAAGGCTGTGTAAACAAACCTTGTTACTTCTTCACTCATTTACTACCCCAAGCCCAAACTTATTTGTCTTGTCAATTCTTCACAAATGTACTGTTTCTTTGTCTAAAAGCTGCCTGCCCTGGTCACTTCTTTGAGTCTCATATTTTTGTGAGCTCCCATACATGTGAAATTAAATTTGTTTTTCTCCTGTTAATCTCTCTTATGTCCATTTAATTGTTTAATTGTTAATCATTTTATTGATTATTAATTATTTGATTGTTAGACCAGCCAAAGAACCTAGAAGGGAAGAAAGGAAAAGCTTTCCTCCCCTATGGTATACACAGTCACACATACACAAGCTTCCACACCCACACCCATACATATATGTACACGCATGTGCGCGTGCGCGCGCACGCACACACACACACATTCTGTTGTGCCTTTCCTGATACCACTAGGCAATTAACTCATTTCTTAGTGGACACTGACTATAATTTAACTCAGTTCTGGTGCTACCTACCTGGAGTCGCACAGGTTACGGGCTCAGTCCCATAAGACTGTCCCCCAATTCAGATGTCCAAGGTGGACACTGGGCTTCTGGTGGACAGGCTATAAATTGGAGGTTCCCTAACCCGCCCTCCTCGGGTTTGATTAATTTTCTAAAGTGGCTCATGGGACTCAGAAGAACTATGTACTTAACTAGGTTACGGAT